GTCAATTCAGAATGCCTTTTTGGCATAAAAGAATAAAATCTAAAAAAATCGCAAAAAAGATTCCAATAATGATGCTAATATAAATTTTGTTGTATTTTGTGACAATTTTTTTTATTTTTTTCATATTTTTTATCGCATGCGATTTTTATACCCTACACCACAAGGTGGTCAGGGTATTATGTCTTTGTGCATTTGTTTGTATCAGGCAAACGGAAACTAGATAGACCTATAGTTCCTTTTGATGATCTGCATAGAATCACATTCTGTGTCGATTTATGCATGTCCGTTCGTCCGTCTGTCCGTCCGTCCGTCCGTCCGTCTGTCCGTCTGTCCGTCCGTGTGTCCGTCTGTCCATGTATTTTTGTAAACAAAGTACAGTTCGCATTTATTGCCATATCCACATGAAATTTTGCACAAATCATTTGTTTGGCCCACGGACGAACCCTATTGAAATTGCAGATAATCGGTCAAAATTTAGATATAGCTCCCATATATATTTTCGTCCGATTTGCCTTTTATTGTGCACCAAACGTGTAATATCAATCCGAATAGTATGGAATTTTGCAAGTACGATCAGATTGAAGCTGAAAATAAGTATGAAAAATTTGATCGAAATCGGTTCATATATAGCTATAGCTCCCATATATATTGTTCATCCGATTTGCTATTTTTTTCCTTCGCAGCCGTAATATGCACCCTGTAGCAACAATATTTGGGGAAATATATCAAAAACATCTCAGAAATACATTTGCTAAATTTTATCAAGATCGGTTCCGATTTGGATATAGCTCCCATATATAACTTCGTCCGATTTACCTTTGATTGTGCACCAAACGTCTAATATTTGCCCAAATTGGATGAAATTTGGAACTTACGACCGAATTGAGCCTAGAAGTTTGTATGTCGAATTTGGTGAAGATCGGTTCAGATATAGCTATAGCTCCCATATATACTGTTCATCCGATTAGTCATATTTGTTACCCACAGCCGTAATATGCACTCCGTAACAACGATATTCAGGGAAATATATCAAATACAGCTCAGAAATATATTTGCCAAATTTTATCGAGATCGGTTCCGATTTGGATATAGCTCCCATATATAACTTCGTCCGATTTACCTTTGATTGTGCACCAAACGTCTAATATTTGCCCAAATTGGATGAAATTTGGAACTTACGACCGAATTGAGCCAAGAAGTTAGTATGTCGAATTTGGTGAAGATCGGTTCAGATATAGCTATATCTCCCATATATACTGTTCATCCGATTTGTCATATTTGTTACCCACAGCCGTAATATGCACTCCGTAACAACGATATTCAGGCAAATATATCAAATACAGCTCAGAAATATCTTTGCCAAATTTTATCGAGATCGGTTCCGATTTGGATATAGCTCCCATATATATTTTTATCCGATTTCAAATTAATTGTGCACCAAATGATCAATACAAGTCCGAATTTAAAAAATACAAATGCTTCGGCATATTTAGTCCTTTGAACTTTAAATTATAATTATAATCATCGCATGTATGATTGTGTATGTGTATGAGCTTTACTAAATTAGCAAAGTGGTGTAGGGTATCATAAAGTCGGCCCCGCCCGACTTTAAGTCTTTCTTTACTGGTTTCAATTTGACTTATAATATTGAAGTATTTGTTTTGTAATACTTTACAACTTTACAACACAGGTTGGGGATATTATATATATATATTGCAATTATCGACCGATCCTCACGAAAATTTTCACAAGGGTAGGGTTAGGCTCAGAAAGGATAGGCCTATTGTTTTGAAAGATGTCCACAATATATTTGGGTGTTTAAATGGACCAAAAACAGAAAAAAAAATCCTGATCACACAATTGAACCCAATCGACACGTTCAAGAAGAGAGTTAAGGACAGGGAAGAATTGTAGCATTTTGGATGACTACTGGATTATATTTAGCTATAAAATGGACCACAACAACTAACAGAACCAGGGAGTGTGTAAATATTGAGCAAATGTCCCTGTTCAAAATGCTAAAAGTAATATCTGGTCAGTGCTCCGTGACTTAATTTCAAAAGCGAAATCATCCAAAATAGATTTGGACATAAAGGGACTTCTAACATATTGTAGTGTTGTAGGGTATCACATGGTCGGCCCACACGACTATAGCTTTTGCTTATTTGTTTTTTTTTTCAAGTTTCGCATTTGAATTTGAATTTTGTAATGGCTTATGTCAAAAGTTGCCTATGCAGGCCACATCCTCGTATAGACCCTAATATTACGGCTACATTCGGTATTTTTAAGATTTTAACAGAATTTTTAACGGATTGTATTGTATTGATAATTGCCAAATTCGTTGCAAATGGTGGGAGGGTATTCAAAGTTCGGCCCGGCCGATCTTACAGCTTTTTTACTTGTTATTATGTAGAAACAGTACTTTATAAAAATTATCAATATAGGACCAATACATGTCCATTTTGCCGCCAAAGACAAACTCAATCAACAGCACTGGTTAAGTCAGGTTACAACTAAAAACTCGAATTTGATTTGGTTCTTCTTTAAATATTTTATTTATATTTGTGCCAACATACATTTATTAAATGCTTTCACTAATTTAACGGAAAACTTTATAGCAATCGTTGATCGTATAAATGATACGTTGTCCAATTATCATGAATGACAATCGTTGCGGTTCGTTTGAAAATGGATTAAGTTGTTGACTACACTAAAACAATAAACAGAAAAGTTAATTTCATGTGGTGTTTTATTTTTGAACAAAAAAAAAAAAAAAAAAAAAACTACCGTATGTCATGCCTAATGACAATTATTTTACATTTGTTAAAAAGTTGTGATTGTAATTAGATTAACGACTTTTTTGAAAAAGGCTATACAACGGGTGGAGTGATGGAATTGTTATTATTTTTAATATTTGTTTTATATAAAGTACATAGGTTGCATTTTATAAAAAAAAAAAAAACAATGTGCAACACAAAAACAAACACAAAACAAAACACATGCATCAATGTTTATATCGCAAAGTAACCAAAATAGAGGGACCCTGCAAAGAATATATATTCTTGATCAGCGTAAAATTCTAGGTCGACTTAGCGAAATCTTTCGATGTCTTTCTGTCTGTTTTAATCACGCTAAATTTGGAAAGAACTGAGATAGAAGGCTAAAATTTTGTCAGACGAACTTAATGTAAATGAGCCATGTCGGTCTACGTTTTGGCATAGCCCCGATCTTCGGTATTTTCACGACTTAGACGACATCTTCTAACATAATTGTTTAAAATTCGGTGCTTCGATTTTGTAACGGTTTCTACCTCCTGTGACAGAAGACTGCTGGAATAGGCTCATCATTTCTTTTGTTACTCATAAGCCGGTACCTACGAATATTTGGTATTTTGGCGATTAAAGGCACATTTTTTTAATTTGGAATTTGAAACTAGCAAAAGACAACAACCACTTAGCAGGAAATCAGTACGACAGTCTCGGCATTTATAACGGTTTTACCAACCACTGGCAAACATGGAAGTGGAGAAGGTTTTTTTACTTCATATTTTGAGGGGGACGAAATTGACGCTTTTTATAAGGTCAAGGTCTTTTTGGACAAAATCCGTTTTAGGACATTTGGAGTTGATCTAGCGATGTCCGTCTGCCTGTCTGGCTGTTGCGCACGATAACTCTCAATGGGAGTATCCGATTTGGCTCCAACTTGGTACATCGTAATATTATTATCAAACTTAAATCGAGTTCAGAGATGAACAATATCGGTCCACTTCTTCTGGTACCTACCCCACAAAAGATCCTCCACAAAGGGTAAAAATTTGAATAAGTATAATTCTTATAAAATGTGAAGTAAGAGTCCGATTGTCTTAAAATTACACACATCACACTATTTTTATTAAATGAAATATATCGGTCCACTCCTTCTGGTATCTCTCCCAATAAATCTTCAATATCCATGAAGTTCATAAACGCAAAATCAATATCCGATTACGTTCATATTTGGCACATTTCAATATTTCCATCAACACAAGATCTGTTATTAGGAAGGTAGAGATCGGACCATTCCTTCTGATACCTCACCCGAAATGGGCAATATTGGGACTTATGCAATGAGGGACTTAAACAAGAAATCGGATGAAACATATATATGGGAGCTATCTCTGGACCAGACTGAATTCGGATGGATGTAGGAATTTTTGACCTATATTGGCCATTTCGTGCGCAATTAATATACGGGTGAGATAAAAAGCTGCAACAAGTTTCAGACTTCTGTCATTTCTCAGCCACTCGTCTGACAACTTTTTTCAGTGGCACTTTGGTGAGAATTTTCCAAAAAAAAATTTTCGTGATGGAATTCAAGCGTGATAGTGTGATTTCTTTATATTTGGATAAAAAACAACAAGTGGCTATGGTCGCCCTTCGCTCGTATTAATTGACCGTGGCATCATAATAAATGCCGAATTTTATCGTGGAAATATTTTGGAGGGCGTATTAAAGCCTTTGGCACGCAATCATTTTGGCCGCAGACCTTGGATATTCCAACAGGACTCAGCACCATCGCACTCAGCACGCGCCACCCAAGAATGGTTACAAAATGAGGCTTCTCGCTTCATTTCTAACGCTCAATGGCCACCAAAACCTCTGGGTACCAATCCGTTGGACTACTGTGTCTGGAGTATTTTGAAAACAACATTCGGGCAGCGTGTGACGGTTTCATTGGCCGTTTGAAGGCCATAATTCGTGCCAAAGGTGACCAATTCGAACAAATCTAAACATATTCTAAAATTTGATACTATTTACGACTTTTTTTGCTTTCATTCAATAAAATTTATAAAAAATCTAAAAATTATGGCGTTTAAGTTTGTTGCAGTTTTTTTATCTCACCCTGTATATTATTAAAACATTAAAAACTTTTTGTAACCCTGTCATTCCAAAATCCCACCCTATTTGCTACAGTTAAAACAATTCGCATACCTCATTTATTAATTCAATTCAGAGCATCAATTCATTTCAAAACTATAGCTTGGATAAGATCGATTAGAAACAAATGGGAAAACGCTAATAATACTCGGGATTTACAGTTACAACAATTAAAATGAAATGTATTTGAAAAGCTAATAAAAATTCGGGATAACTTTGTTCTGAAGCAAACAAAAGAAACTTCAATACAATACCGTTTGTTTTTTGACAAATAAATTGATTTAATTACTTGCAAGTTTCATAAAATTTTCCTATATAAATTAGTGTTGTTAAATAAATGCGAAGGAGTAATAAAACGTTAATATTCCATAACTAAAAAAATGTCAGTGAAAATAATTTGCAGTGTTGCAATTGTGATTGCCCTGTTGGAAGTGGTTTTAGCCTGTGTAGGTGGTCCTTGAAATAGATAAGTCTCAAATAAATACAGTATTTTCTATATTTAAATTTATTTCAGAATGGCTATAAGGCGAAAATTCTGAAGGCCGAAAATTGTGCCGGTCCTGATGGCGTTATAACCCTTGATCCTGATTTCTCCGTTAAGCTCAATAAGAAATGTGAAATCGTCCCAACCGGATGTGTCAACAATAAGGCATTTAGTACCGCCAATTCAAAATATAAAATTGTTAAGGATGGTATGACAGTGGCCGAGGGCACCTTTGATATGTGCGGCATGGCTGATCAGGCTCCGGATCAGGCAAGACAGTATATGAACATGTTTGGTGTACCATCATCGTGTCCCGTTGAAGATGTAAGTAAATAGAAGTGAATAATAATCGTAAAAGATCAATTGTTAGTTGAAAAAGTTATAAAATTAAGTGGGAGGGTAAAGTCCTTTTCAAGATTTTTTTTGAAATTTTGGGTAAGGCAAAATTTATGATCACAAATCACAGGTAAAAAAATATGAGAGAAAAGAGACTTCCTGACCTTTTTTCAAAAATGGTTAAAAACTCCCTTTAAACGAGATCGCATAAAGTCAAAATATTCTATGAAATTATTTGCTATGAAATTTTACTGTGGGTCTTGAAATACACCAAAACTCAAAATCTTACCCATACACCAGGAACTCATATGCATTATAAATACAGTTTAGATTCAATGCTGTTCTTCATACGAGTTTCAGCTAAATCCTTCTACAAATCATAATTTTTGGTGGAGGACGTCAAAAACAAAAATATTGTTCATCAAGTTTCACTATAATTCACGAAAGAAAATGAATCTCTATTTTCACTCTATATTAATACAACATCTGCTCCAATTTTTCAAAAAAAAAAGAACAAAGGAGTAAGGAAAAGACAAAAGCCGGGCCGAGCCGACTATATGATACCCTACACCACTATACATATTTAGTAGAGCTCCCGTAACAAAATAATTTATTTGCAGTAGATCACAGCTCCTATCAACATTTGGCTTTAGATCAGTCATAGTTTGGTTTCAGAGGGAACTAATACAGATTGAGATAAAACCAGTAAGGAAAGCTCAAAAGTCGGGCGGGGCCGACTATATGATACCCTACACCACTATGCATATTTAGTAGAGCTCTCGTAAAAAGGTTTATACAGGGCATTTCAGAGCTCTATGAAATATTTGGTACAAAATCAAAATCTATCTAATTCTATCGTGCATTTTACGAACTATAGCTATCTCTGAACCGGGTTTCTCCAAATTTTACGTATTAGCTTCTAGACTGGTGATTTGGGCTGATATTGACCATTTAGTGCACATTTAACCCGAAATCGGATGAAGATATATATGGGAGCTATATCTAAATTTGATCCGATTCTCACCAATTTCAATAGGGTTCGTCCTTGGGCCAAAAAAATATTGTTTGGAAAATTTCATCTCAATCGGATAATAAATGCGACCTGCATTTTGTTCACAAGAATACATGGACAGACGGACGGACGGACAGACGGACTGACATGCATAAATCGACTCAGAAAGTGATTCTATGAAGGTTCTCAAAAGTAACTATGGGTCTATCTCGTTTCCTTCTCCATGTTACAAACAAATGCACAAAGACATAATACCCTTACCACTATGTGGTGTAGGGTATAAAAACTTCAACAAAGTAAACCGGCGTAATTTTCACATATTTTTATACCCTACACCACAAGGTGGTCAGGGTATTATGTCTTTGTGCATTTGTTTGTAACAGGCAGAAGGAAACGAAATAGACCCATAGTTCCTTTTGATGATCTGCATAGAATCACATTCTGAGTCGATTTATGCATGTCCGTCCGCCTGTCTGTCAGTCCGTCTGTCCATGTATTTTTGTAAACAAAGTACAGGTCGCATTTATTGCCCGATCCAGATGAAATTTTGAAAAGATCTTTTGTTTGGCCCAAGGACGAACCCTATTGAAATTGGAGATAATCGGTCAAAATTTAGATATAGCTCCCATATATAACTTCGTCCGATTTACCTTTTATTGTGCACCAAACGTCTAATATTTGTCCAAATGGGATGGAATTTGGAACTTACGACCGAATTGAGTCTATAAGCTAGTATGTCAAATTTGGACTCAGAAATACCTTTGCTAAATTTTATCGAGATCGGTTCTTATATAGCTATAGCTTCCATATATATTATTAATCCGATTTGTTATATTTTTTACCCACAGCCATGATATGCACTCCGTAACAACGATATTCAGGGAAATATATCAAATACAGCTCAGAAATATCTTTGCCAAATTTTATCGAGATCGGTTCAGATTTGGATATAGCTCCCATATATATTTTTATCCGATTTTAAATTATTTGTGCACCAAATGGGCAACATGTGTCCGAATTTGAAAGATACAAATGCTTCAGCATATTTAGTCCTTTGAACTTTAAATTATAATCATAGCGTGTATGATTGAATTCTCCCATAAAAACTTTTAATTGTTATGTGGAGCTCTACTTAATTAGCAAAGTGGTGTAGGGTATCATAAAGTCGGCCCCGCCCGACTTGAAGACTTTCTTTATTGTTTTTTTTTTTGTTAAATTTTATTGAATTAAAGGAAAAAAATGTCGGAAATAGCATTAAATTTTAGAATAATGGCCTTCAAACGGCTAATGAAACCGTCACACGCTGAATGTTGCTCTGTGATATTTTGGCCCGTTCTCGGCAAGCACTTGCTTGAGGTGATCGACACTTTGGTATTTTTTAGTGCCAACCTTGCTTTCCAAAATACTCCAGACACAATAGTCCAACGGATTGGTATCCGGAGATTTTGGTGGCCATTGTGCGCTGGAAATGTAGCGAGGAACCTCAATTTGTAACCATTCTTGGATGGTGCGTGCTGAGTGCGACGGTGCTGAGTCCTGTTGGAATTTCCAAGGTCTGCGGCCAAAAAGTTTGCGCGCCCAAGGTTTCAATACACCCTCCGGAATATTTTCGCGATAATATTCGGCATTTATTCTGATGCCACGGTCGATTAATACGAGCGGAGAGTGACCATCGCCTGTAATGGCGGCCCACACCATCACCATGGCCGGCACTTGAGTTCTGGTGGCCAACCGTAGGTGCACATTTTCCGCTGACCTCTTTGGCAAGTAAACACGATCATTATACCCAACACCACATAGTGGTAAGGGTATTATGTCTTTGTGCATTTGTTTGTAACATGGAGAAGGAAACGAGATAGACCCATAGTTACTTTTGAGAACCTTCATAGAATCACTTTCTGAGTCGATTTATGCATGTCCGTCCGTCCGTCCGTCCGTCCGTCCGTCCGTCTGTCCATGTATTCTTGTGAACAAAATGCAGGTCGCATTTATTATCCGATTGAGATGAAATTTTCCAAACAATATTTTTTTGGCCCAAGGACGAACCCTATTGAAATTGGTGAGAATCGGATCAAATTTAGATATAGCTCCCATATATATCTTCATCCGATTTCGGGTTAAATGTGCACCAAATATCCACTATCAGTCCAAATTACCTGAATTTTGGCACACCCAACCGAGTTCGGCCTAGAAGCAAGTATATCAAATTTGGAGAAAATCGGTTCAGATATAGCTATAGCTCCCATATATATCTTTCATCCGATTTGATCTTTAAGTTCCTCACATTCCTACTATGCACTCCACAACCGTGATATTTGGTACCAGTTATTAGATGGAGCACAGAAATAGCTGTTTTAAATTTTATTGAAATCGGTTCAGATTTGGATATAGCTCCCATATATATCTTCATCCGATTTCGGGTTAATTGACCACCAAATGACCAATATCAGCCCAAATGGACTGAATTTTAGTACATCGGACCAAATTCAGCCTAGAAGCAAGTATATCAAATTTAGTGAAAATCGGTTCAGATATAAATATAGCAACCATATATATGTTTCATCCGATTTAGAATTTTAGTCCCATACATTCGTAATATTCACTCCACAACCGTGATATTTGGTACCAAGTATTAGATGGAGCACAGGAATAGCTGTTTTAAATTTTATCGAAATCGGTTCAGATTTGGATATAGCTCTCATATATATCTTCATCCGATTTCGGGTTAAATGTGCACAAAATGGTCAATATCAGCCCAAATCACCAGTCTAGAAGAAGAAGAAGAATACGTAAAATTTGGAGAAACCCGGTTCAGAGATAGCTATAGTTCGTAAAATGCACGATAGAATTAGATAGATTTTGATTTTGTACCAAATATCTCATAGAGCTATGAAATGCTCTGTATACACCTTTTTACAAGAGCTCTACTAAATATGCATAGTGGTGTGGGGTATCATATAGTCGGCCCCGCCCGACTTTTGAGCTTTCCTTACTGGTTTTTAATTTAAGCCTTATCGAAGTCGTATCATTCACTATACAGCAAAGTTATTTGGTACTAGAGGTACAAAAGCCTCCTTTAAATTTTGTTGAAAATCGATTCAGAGCTGGATATAGTTTCCAAATTGTGACTACTCAAGTGCCATGATACGCATTCAAATAAGGTTCATAGTTGGCATGATCTACTTCAAATAAATTCCCAATATACGGAAGCTCTACTATATACGCATAGTTGTGTAGGCCACGTCCGATTTTGAGTTTTCCTTCCTGGTTTTTTGATTTTTTTTTTTTTCTTTAGGCATTTTCAAGTTTGAATTAAAAGTTCCAAAGGAGGAAAGGGGAAAGTACCAAAGGAAGAAAGGTTCTTGGTAAATTTTATTTATTGGTCTCGGAATCAAATAAATTTGTAAAATTAGTATGCACCCCAATAATATATCATTTATTTTGGTTCACAAAAAGAACCTTTCAAAGTTAAGTAGTTTCGATCTACAAACCGAGTGCTTTAAGTGCACGTGGGATTTTAAACACCCCAGATTGGTTGTGGACATGTAAATTCAGAAATTGTAAGAAAGTTTGGCATTAATTTACGAAAATCATTTGCTCGTAGTCCTTTAGCTTTATTTTTGAGAAAATTCGCCTAGCCTCTCTTTAAGACTTTTTTGGTATGAATACCATTTCCTAATCATCTATTTGTTTCTTTATTTTTCAGAATAAAATCTGCTCGAATGACAACAAGGTTGACCTTTCACAATATAAATCCATGCTTAGCCTTGCCCGTGGAAATATTGTTATTGATTCGGAAATTGAACACGATACGGTAAGTATTGGCATGTTAGCAAAGCGTGTTTTCAACCGTTATTAACATTTCAAACCATTTTATTTTACAGGGTAAATCATGCTTCCATGTCGAAATTCAAATCTCGAAATCTTAAAATGCTAGGTGGTATAGCTTAATAGGAAAATACCTAAAATACGTAATTGGAAATTATTATTGGACAAAATTTTTAGTTGTCATTTGATAAGGCAAATAATTTTGTAAATTGATTTTTTATGATAATAAAAATACAATGAACATTTGAATAATCTACATAAGTTGTGAAAATAGGTTCTGATTTCGATATAATTCCCACATTTAATTTAATCTGATTTCATATTTATTATGCACCAAATGCGTAATACCTTAAGAATAACAAAGTAAGCCAAGGCTATAGTCTGACGGGTATGATCAATTGATTTACTTTAATTTACGATAAAGTTTCTGCAGATCTGAAACACTTTTTTTACTAGACTGAAGATTACTCTTAGAAATATACCCATATCCACCAAATAATAAAAGTAAATGGTTGCTCCTCCTTTCGAATAATCATCATAGATCTGAAACCAATATTTTCCAAAAACATACGATCTCTAAAAAGGCATCGGTATTTGACGAAGCAGATCTTCCTAATACGTCAAATACCAAATTCTTTTTTTCAGAATGAACAGAAATTTTAAATTTAAAAATTTGTTTCCATGCATATCGAATATTTCATTTTCATTTCATTCTTTAAATAATGTGACTAGTCCTGCAAAGTTTTTACATTGGCTTAATATTTAGTAATGGGTATGGGTATTCAAATTCATATTTGAAAATGTAGATTCGTCTATATGATTTCCTGCATCTCACCATCCAAAAGTCTAGGCTTCAGCGTTGCCCTAAACTCCAATCGCATAATAAATGGCATGTCTATTGGTCCTTAGTTGCGAACTGTAGTAAATATTTGCGAATATATTCCAAAACAATGTGATCCTAATCTGAGCCTACCTAATATAAAATTTATTATTGCGAACTAAATGTAATACTCCAACACATAGTGTTGTAATGTGAAAAAAATATAACAAAATGCGCAATCCAATATTGTAAGTCAAATTGAACAAATCGCATGCGATAAAAAATTTGACTAAAAATTAAAAATATCGAAAAATATGACAGAAAATATTATATTTTTATCAGCCGTTTTTTTTTTTTTTTTGCTATTTTTCCAGATGTTATTCTTTTTTACCAAAAGGCCATTCTGAAATGGTGAGAATTGTTAAAATCGGTCCGGTCGTTCTTGAGTTATAAGCGGTCTAACTAACATACCCTTCTATGAATATATTTTGCTTTACGGGTGAAATAAAAACAAGTAAAAAAGCTGCAAGTTCGGCCGGGCCGAACTTTTCAAAGAAAAAAAAAAAAAAAAATCCGTTAAAAATTCTGTTAATATCGTGAAAATACCTAATGTAACCGTATATTAGAGTTTATACGACGACGTGGACCTGCATAGGCAACTTTTGTCACAAGCTATTACAATATTCAAATGCGAAACTTGAAAGAAAAAAATCTGTTTGTAATATAGCTAAAATGATCAAAATACCGAACTTAGGGAAGTACCATGGTGGGTATAAAACGTGGATCTGCACAGACAAATTTCTGTCATAGGCTGTAGTATTCATTACGAACTTCAAATACCAACTTTGAAATAGTTCCGGTAAATAATGTCGCTAAAACCATCAAAATACCGAATATCGGGGGGTACCGTTATATGGTGGATATACGAAGACGTGGACCTGCACAAGCAATTTTCTGTCATAGGCTGTAGTATTCATTACGAACTTCAAATACCAACTTTGAAATAGTTCCGGTAAATAATGTCGCTAAAATCATCAAAATACCGAATACCGGGAGGTACTGTTATATGGGGGCTTTACGAAGACATAAAACCTACATGGCTCATTTTCTGTCTTAGGATGTAATATCCATTACCAATTTCAAATACCAAAATTGAACAATTCCGATAAATAATGTCGCTAAAATCATAAAATTCCGATTATCGGGGGTACCGTTACATGGGGGCTATACGAAGTCGTGGACCTACATAGCTCATTTTCTGTCTTAGGACGTAGTATACCAAATTTGAAACAATTCCGGTTAATAATGTCGCTAAAATCATCAAAATACCGAATATCGGGAGGTACCGTTATATGGGGGCTATACGATGACGTGGACCTACAAGGCCCATTTTGAGTTGTATGCTGTAGTATCTATTACAAACTTCAAATACCAACTTTGAAACAATTCCGGTTCATAATGTCGCTAAAATCATCAAAATACCGAATATCGGCACGTACCGTTATATTGTGCTATACGAAGACGTGGACCTACATGGCCCATTTTCTGTCTTAAGTCGTAGCATATATTACGAACTGTAAATATTAATTTTGAAACAATTCCGGTAAAAAATGTCGCTAGAATGATCAAAATACAGCATATTGGGAGGTACCGTTATATGGGGGCTATACGAAGATGTGGACCTACATGGCCCATTTTCAATACCAAAAGTCCGGCAGACATAGTACACATTTGAGTAAAATTTTATTAACCTTATTCATTTCGTTCGGAAGCTAGAGTGATTTCCACTGACGGACAGACGGATTGATAAATCGACATAAAATTTTATGCTGATCAAGAATATATATGCTTTGTGGGGTCAAAAATGTATATTTCGAGGTGTTACAAACGGAATGACAAACTTAATATACCCTCCATACTATGGTGGAGGGTATAAAAACTGCAACAAACGCCATAATTTTATTTTATTATTTTTTTTAATTATATTGAATGAAAGCAACAAATTTCGGAAATATCATCAAATTATAGAATAAGTTTAGAATTGTTCAAATTGGTCTTCCAACGGCCAATGAGACCGTCACACACTGCCCGAATGTTGCTCTACGGTATTTTGGTCCATTCCCGGCCAAGTGCTTGCTTGAGGTGATCGACATTTTGGTATTTTTTAGTGCCAACCGTGCTTTCAAAAATACTCCAGACACAATAGTCCAACGGATGGGTATCCGGAGATTTTAGTGACCATTGTGCGCTGGAAATGAAGAGAGGAACCTCATTTTGTAACCATTCTTGGTGGCGCGTGCTGAGGGCGATGGTGCTGAGTCCTGTTGGAAAGTTCAAGGTCTGCGGCCAAAATGTTGGCGTGCCCAAGGCATTAATACACCCTCCAGAATATTTTCGCGATAATATTCGGCATTTATTCTGATGCCACGGTCGATTAATACGAGCGGAGAGCGACCATCGGCTGCCATGGCGGCCCACACCATCACCATGGCCGGCGCTTGAGTTCCGGTGGCCAACTGAAGATGCACATTCTCACCTGACCTCTTTGGCAAGTAAACACGATAATTTTGTTTGTTTACAAACTGCTGGACAACGAATGTTTTCTCATCGGAGAAAACCAAATTTGGCAGTTCACCACTTTCGGCCAAGCGAAGCAACTCTACAGTTTTTTTTTCAATAGCTTTATCCCGAGCTCATTTTTCAATATTTACCGAATGAAATATTGCGATATGTTCAACTCACGAGTTATTTTTCGGCCACTGCGACGCGGGTTTCGATCAAATTGCTTCTTTACTTTTCGAATCATTTCTGTTGATGTTGCTGTGTTCTTCCTTCCACTTCCTTGACGTCGGGCTACGGTAATGAGCGATGGTACGATACGATGTTGGAGTGCGCTAACGATAGCAACTTGTGGTTTTCCAGCCAAATATAAAGAAATCACACTATCACGCTTGAATTCCATCACGAATAACTTTTTTTACTAGAAAATTCTTACCAAAATGATTTTGTACGCTTTTAAACAATATAATGAGCTGTCATTGGAATAATTTTAACAGCAGTCGGACGAGTGGCTTACTAATGACAGCAGTCTGAAGTTGGTTTCAGTTTCTTCATCTCACCCTGTATATGTGATATCTTGGATATTAGCATCAATGCAACGGGCAGAGGTGACCTTTGAATGCATTTTTTGATTTAGCTGTGATTATCAATATTCTAGGTTAAGTGGAAATTTTCGTAATTTTTTACATAAAAGTTATGGTCTATTTTATCCGCTAAATATTATCCGATGACCATCCAAATTGGCAGGCTTCTGCGCAGTCCTTAATTCTTGCCCCATGCAAAATTCAATTGGTCTATAATTGTGGCGTGTAGAGCCACTCTAAAATCATAAAAAAATTATTTTTAGTTCCAATTCAACCCCTAAATATTTTGCGATCATCCCCAAAAACAATAGGCTTCTATTTTGACCCTAACCCCACCTCCATACTAAATGTCGTGAGGATTGGGCCATAACCTACCTAGAGCGTGATTACAAATGAACATAGGCAGACGGACGGACATATATAGCTAGATCGTCTCAGCTCGGCGAGATAGGAAGATCCATATTAACATCCTATGAGCGGGAACAATAATTAGAATTTTTGGCCCAATTAAACTTATAATACCCCTAACACATAGTGTTGTAGAGGAGTGAAATAATTGACTGACTTACTGTGAAACTGACTTACGCCCACACGAAACGGGTGAAACTAGAATCTTGAAATTTTTCAAAGGGTCAGACTTGGGGCGTAGGTTATGTGAGAAGGCTGGGACTTTGGAAATTCGCACTGAACGGATACGAAAACTGCTAAAATCAACTAAAAATTGAATACTTTGTATTGGACAAATGGTATGTACTAGGGTGAAATTTGGAATGAGTGGAGTGCAGATTAGATGTACCAAGATGTTTTGGAAATGTGTACTATAATTGTACGAAAAATACTAAATAGTACTAAATTAGATATTGGGTGAAGGGATAGAGATAAATTTCTGAAATTTCATATTTGTCATCAGCGTTTGAGATTTGGCGGTGGTTTGGTAATGCGTCCTATATTTGTACGAACAGTACTAAATGGTTTTAAATGTGGTATTAGGTGAAGGGATAGGGTAGGAATCCTCAAATTTGATATTGAGGTCTCTGTGTGTATCTGGAATTGATATATGGAGGTGGTTTTGGAGATGTGTGCTATAATTCTTTGAAAAGTACTAAGTGGTACTATTTTTGGTAATGAATGAAGGGATAGGGCTGGAATACTCAAAATGTATATTGAGGTCTCAGTGGGTATCTGAAATGTAAATATTGAGGTGGTTGTGAGAATGTTTGATTTATTGTGAATGGGTGTAACTGGACCTTTGAAATTTTGTATTGGATTCCTGTTGGTGAGTAGGTTTGTGATAAAAAGGTGGTTTTGGAAATGTGTACTAAAAGTGCGAGAAATGTTCTAAATTGTACTATTTTTGATACAATTTGACAATGTTTGAAATCGGCAATTTGCTATTGGCGTTGCTGTTCATGTGTGGAGCCTAGACATATGGAGGTTGTTTTGGAAATGTGTACTATAATTGTACGAAAAGTACTAAATGGTACTAAGTTTGGCATTGGGTGAAGGGATACAGATAAATTTCTGAAATTGGATATTTGCCATCAACGTTTGAGATTTGGCGATGGTTTGCTAATGCGTCGTATATTTGTACGAACAGTACTAAATGGTACTAAATTTGGTATGGGGTTAAGGGACAGGACATGAATCCTCAAATTTGATATTGAGGTCTCTCTTGGCATGTGGAATTGAGGTGTTTTTGGAAATGTGTACTATTATTGTCCGAAAAATACTAAATAGTATTGGGTGAAGGAATAAATCTAAAATCCTGAAATTTGATATTGAGGTCTTTGTTGGCATCTGGAATTGAAATATGTAAGTGGTTTTAGAAAAATGTATTATAATTGTACGAAAAATACTAAATAGTACTAAATTAGGTATTGGGTGTTGGAATAGAGCAGAAATTTGATATGGATGTCACGTTTGATGTCTGTGGTTGAGTGAAGGAGCTGGTGTTGGATATGCGTAAAATTTGGTAATGGGGAAATTACAGAGGTGAAATCCTGAAATTTGGTATTAATGTTACCACTGTTCATATCTGAGGTTGAGATATGGAGATTGTTTTGAAAATATATGAAAAGAATTAAATGCTACAAAATTTGGTATGGATTAAGGTTGAGGAGAAATGTACTATGAACGTACGAAAAGTGTCAAGTGTCACAAAATACGCCGATAGGTGTTGGTATAGAGTTGCTCACTGTGATGGTTCGAAAGGTACAAAATGTTACTAAACATCCTGTTTAGTGAGTTGATAGAGACTGAAAACTATAATTTGATATTGAGGTCACTGTTGGTTTTCAGGATAGTTTTGGACAAACAATTTTAGACAGGCTATACGAAAACGGGGATCGAAATACCTGATATTAAAATACCATTTCATTTTCAAAGCTGTAAGTAAAATAATGTGCACTCCAGGTGTGTGTCTAGTGTACCAATCATTTTTATACCCTCCATCATAGTATGGTATATATTAAGTTTTTCATCCCGTTTGTAACACCTCGAAATATACATTTTAGACCCCACAATGTATATATATATTCTTGATCAGCATAAAATTCTATATTGATTTAGCCATGTCCGTCCGGCTGTCCGACTATCCGTCTGTCCGTATGTGGAAATCACTCTACCTTCCGAACGAAATAAAATAAGTTGATAAAATTTTACTCCAGGACTTTTGGTATTGAAAATGGGCCACGTAGGTCCACGTTCTGGTGTATCCCCCATATAACGGCACCTTCCGATATTCGTTATTTTGATGATTTTAGCGACATTATTCACCAGAATTGTTTCGAATTTGGTATTTGAAGTTTCAAAGGGATACTACAGCCTAAGACAGAAAATTGTCTGTGCAGGTCCACGTCTTCGTTTATCCCCCATATAACTGTCCCTATATTCGGTATTTTGATGATTTTAGCGACATTATTCACCGGAATTGTTTCAAAGTTGGTATTTTAAGTTCGTAGTGGATACTGCAGCCTATGACAGAAAATTGTCTGTGCAGGTCCACGTCTTAGTATAGACCCCATATAAAGGTACCTCCCAATATTCAGTATTTTGATGATTTTAGCGTCATTATTCACCAGAATTGTTTCAAATTACGTCAGTGACAGAAAATTGTCTATACAGATCAAGGTCTTCGTATAGGCCCCATACATCAGTACCTCCCTATATTCGGTATTTTGACGATTTTAGGTACAATACCCACCGAAATTGTTTGAGTTGTCGTATTTGAAGTTCGTATTGAATGCTACAGCCTGTGACAGAAAATTGTTCATGCTGGTCCAGATCTTCGCACAGCTCCGATATAACGGTACCTCCCTGTATACCATATTTTGATGATTTTAGCTTCACCGTTTATTTCAAGTATCGAATTTAAACATGGTAATTGCTTATGACGAAGAATACCTATGCAGGTCCACGTCGTATAGACCCCAATATAACGGCTACATTCGGTATTTTTAAGATTTTAACAGAATTTTTAACGGATTTTATCTTTTTGAAAATTGCCAAATTCGTTCCAAATGGTAGAGGGTATTAAAAATTCGGCCCGACCGAATTTACAAATTTTTTACTTGTCTTTATTCCGTTTGCTAAAAATTTTCTTATATTTTTCATGTATCTTGGATAGAGCTCTGAAACTTGACTTATATCTATCTATCTATCGAATTTTACTACAAAATACTTGTAAATAACCGTTTTACTAATTGTTTCAAAAAGCTTTGGCAACGAGAGCTTATTCCACAAACAATTCTAGCTGAAGAACACCGACCACTGACTCAAAAACATTTTTTTATGTAATTATTGCCTAATCATGGTGAAACTAAACTTATTCGACCGGTTACCTTCTGTAAACGAAAGTAAAAAAAAAAATTACTGTTCCAAAATTGTTTTTCATTTTTTGATGACATTAGTCATCGCCATTAGTGGTGCAATGCAGAAATAATTACAATAATCTCCATTTTGGTGATGATCGTTAATATCGGGCTAAATATTCCCAAAATTATACAAACAAACTCATTAAAAATCAAAAATTATTTGTTGGTTTTTTTTTTTTTTTATTTTACGTTTTCCCAATAGCAAAGGTCAAAGTCCATTGGTGAACAGCTGTTATCACTGATGTCCGGAGTAATGGCGTGAAAAATTTGAAAATAAATACCAATTTGATACTCGTGTACTTTTGTAAACGACAGGGGCCTATATAAAGTTGCAAATTGTTTTAGGTCGACCACAGTTCTTTACGATTAACAGTAAACGAGAGTTATTAGTAATTTTCAATCTTTTTATTACAAATCATTCAAAAAAGGCATAAAAAATGCTGTCGATTAAAATTTTCAAATTTGTTTTATTCGCTGTGTGCATCGAGGCCGCTTTGGCATGTGTAAGTAATAAAGAGATTATTTCAAATTTTAGTTAAGCTACGGAATTTGAAAGGACTTAAAGAAATAAAACTGTGGATAAGTTCATAATAATTTTAAAGAGTTACAACTGTTGATGTTTTAGAGAGTAATTTTAATGTCTTTTAGAGAGTACAGCCGTGAATATTTTTAAGAATATTTTTTAAGAAGATTCAAAGACTCATTCAGGGTTTTTTTGGAATGTTTTTAGCGGACTTTCGGAGTATAATTGTGGATATTTTAAAGAATGATTTAAAAGACCATGAATATGGATTTTAAGAAACATATTTAAATGATTTTTACGAACATATTTGGAGGATTTTTAAAGAAATTTTTAGAAAATGGTTGAAAGGTTTCTAAGAACCAGAAAGGGGATTTGAGAAACATTTTTAAGGTATTTTTATGAATTCTCTGGAAGGATTTTTAATGGATTTTAAGCAGACTATCTAAAGGAAATTTAAGAATATTTTTAAATTATGTTCGAAACATATTTTTAGAAGAATTTTTTTTTGAAAAAAAAAAATACTTTTAGAATTTTAAGAACAGTTTTAGAATGGTTTGGAATGTTCATTTATTAAAATTTTAAAAATATTTTTGAACTATTTTCGCATGTTTATTTAAAAGATTCTTTGGAATAACAAATGTGTATTGTTGAACGATTTTTAAAAACCTCAAACTTGGATTTTTTTGTAGGATTTTTAAACTCATTTTCAAAGGATATTTTAACAAATGTTTAAAGAATTTTCAATTATATTTTTGAAGCACATATCACAGCACAGTCAGAAATGTAAATATTTAAAACAAAATATTTTGAAAAAAAAAAAAAAATTAAAACAATATTTTGGAAGGATATTTTAAATCCACAAACATTTCATCAACTCTTTTGATAGATTTTCATAAGTATTTCTATGAACATTCTTGAAGGATTTTTAAGAGTTACAATTGTCGATTTTTCGACAGCTTTTTTTGTACTCAAAATTTGCAATTTTTTCATCGTACTAAATTTTTGGACTTTCAAGGTTTTATATATCTTATTCCAGTTTTCCCTTTTTGGGAAAGTACAATAGGAAAATATTTGATATAAGAGATTTAGAATTATATATCTTATATTATCTTAGCCACATACAGACATACAGTACTTTTCGTACAGTAATAGTACACATTTCCAAAATCACCTACATATCTCAATTCCAGATACTAACAGAGACCTAAATATCAAATTTATGAATTCAAGACCAATCCCTTAGCTTAATGCCAAATTTAGTACCATTTAGTACATTTCGTACAAATAAAAGATGCATTAGCAAATAAAAGATGCATTAAGCAAATCACCGCCAAACCTTAAACACAGGTTCCATCAATAAACTATGTATCAAATTTCAGAACTTTGTCTCTATCTCTTCACCCAATACCAAATATAGTACCATTCAGTTCTCTTCGTAAAATTATGCTACACATTCCCGAAACTACACTACACATGAACAGCGATCTTAATACCAAATTTCAGAATTCTAGCACTATCTGTTCACCCTATATTAATTTGTGCCAAATTTAGTACTATTTAGAACTCTTCGCGCTCTGGTAGTACACTCTTCCGATACCATCTCTTTATCACAAATTTGTGCCAAATTTAGTACTATTTAGAACTCTTCGCGCTCTGGTAGTACACTCTTCCGATACCATCTCTTTATCACAAACCTACCACCAGCATCAGCACCAGCACCAGCACCAACACAAACCAAAAACCAATAGAACATTTCAAAATTTCTTCTTCATCCCTTCACGCTAAACCGAACAGTTCTAAATTTAGGAACATTTAGTACAGTTCGTACACTTAGTTCACATATATGAAACGTATTTTCCAACTTTGATTCTTAAATCAAATTTCAAGTTTTTAGCTCTATCCGTTCTCATATTACAAAATGGTACCATTTTAGGAATTAAATACCATTTTAGAACTCTTCGTAACTTTAAAGTTCGAATTTCCAAAAACGCTATAGCAAAACTTTCCTTCACTCTATCAGTGACTCTCGTTCCAAATTTCAGAATTCTAGCTCATTTAGTAATTTTTTGTACACAAAATAGTACATTTTTGTACATTTTAGTGCTTTTCGTACAATATAGTACTCCTCATGTAAAATTTCAAGATTCTAATTTTATATTCTCAGACAATCACGGTTAGTTCGCCAAAAGTATGGAAGAGGGGGGAATTTCCCCCTCTATTTTGTTAACTTTGGGATGTAAACTTTAAAAACGTCGGTACAAGTTTTTTCTATTTTTAGCCTTCTTTCATTATCTACTAAGTTTTCTTGTAATTTTTGAAAACAAAAAAGAAAAAAAAAAATAATTTTGTAGAACATTGTAATGTTTTGTTTAGAAATTATTCTTCGATTTCCTTCGAACTTTGATATTTCCAACAATTCTTGAATATTATTTTTCATATCTTTCCGATCTTTAATAGAGGATTTATAACTATAACAAGTAAAAAAGCAGTAAGGTCAGCCGGGCCGAAATTTGAATACCCTCCGCCGTTTGAAACGAATTAGAAAATGTGCAAAAAATAAAATTTCATAAAAATTCTGCTAAAATCTTCAAAATACGGAATATCGGAAGGTGCCGATATATGGGGGATATACAATATTGTGGAAAAATCTATTTCTGGGGGTAAAGTACTCAAAATGAACTCCTTGTGCAGAATTTCAGACAATTTCTTTGAAAAATGTGGCTAAAATCATCAAAATATGGAATATCGGGAGGCTGTGGGCTCTAAACAACATCGTAAACCTATATAGACCATTCTCTTTCAGGGAGTAAAGTACTCACAAAGAACTCCTTGTGCGGAATTTCAGACAATTCCGTTGAAAAATGTGGATAAAATAATCAAAATACCGACTATCGGGAGGTACCGATATATAGGGGGGATATACGATATCGTGGACCTATGTAGACAATTCTCTTTCAGTGGATAAAGTACTTACAAGGAACTCCTTGTAAAGAATTTCAGACAATTTCATTGCAAAATGTGTTTAAAATCATCAAAATACAAAATATCGGCGCTTAACGTTATATAGAGGCTATACGATATCCTGGGCCGATATAGAAAATTCTCTTCCAGGGGGTAAAGTAGTCTCAAGAAAATACTTGTGTAGAATTTAAAACAATTTCATTGAAAAATGTGGCTAAAATCGTCAAAATACCGACCATCTTCGAACTTGACCTGCCTGCAGACAAAATTTAGACTTGTGCAAAATTTTAGCTTCCTATCTTAATTCGTTTTGACTGTAGCGTGATTACAACAGACGGACGGACGGATTTAGAATTTTACGCTGATGAAGAATATATATATACTTTGTTGGGTCTAAAATTATTATTTCGATGAGTTAAGAACGGAATGACGAACTTAATATACCCTCCATACTATGTATGGTGGAGGGTATAAAAAGGAATTGACTATCACATTAAATCCTCTAATATATTATATTATTATATCTTTTTTTGTTCATTTTTAGAATGGCTTCAAGGCCAATCTTATTAAGGCCGAAAATTGTGCCGGAGCAGATGCCATCATAACAATGGATTCGGATTTTTCCGTCAAGCTTAACAAAAAATGTGAAATTATACCCAGTGGCTGTATTATCAACAAAGCTTTCAAGACGGCCGTCTCCAAGTTCAAGGTAACCAAAGATGGTATGGTAATCAAGGAGGGTAAAATGGATTTATGCAGTATGGCCGATAATGCACCATCTGAGGTTAAGGATTACTTGAAAGTGTTCGGTGCACCAGCATCGTGTCCCGTCGAAGAGGTAATTAAACAAATGCACATAAATAAGATGATATTTAAAAATTGTCCTTCTCTGTTAGACCAAAGTCTGTGCCCATGATCACAAAATTGATTTGTCCAAGTACAAGGCTCTTTTGTCCGTTGCCCGTGGTCACATTGTTGTTGATTCGGATATTACTCATGACACTGTAAGTTATTCATTTAATGAACGTATTTTTTTTAATTAATATAATCCTTTCCTCTCTTTTAATTGTTTCAGGGTAAATCCTGCTTCCACGTTGAAATGGAAATTACAAATTAATAACTAATGTTGGTATTTAAATATTTTTGAGGAGTTAATGTTGTATTCGATATTTATTTTATTATGTTTTATAATTTTTTCCCTCCCTATTGGTATTATTAAATGTAAATAAAATGGAATGGACCACTAAATAATTTTGTGTTTAATGAAATATGGAGGCTTTACCGAATAGATTCGGTAAAACGAACTGTAAAGCATTTTGTTGGAAATAAAGGTAGCAAAATTCATAATACTCGAATTTGAGAGACATTAAGAGGCCATTTTTTTTTGGCCATTTTTAATATGCATATCATCCACATAATGACAAAGCTTTATAAAGTGATTATTTTACCCTACAACACTATGTGTTGAGGATATTATAAGTTTGATTGGGCCAAAATTTATGTAACGCCTCGAAATATTGGTTCCCACATACGAAAGTATATATGAATCTTCCTATCTCGCCGAGCTGAGTCGATCTAGCTATGTATGTCCGTCCGTCCGTCTGTCCATGTTAATTTGTAATCAATCTGCAGGTCGCAATTATGGTCCGATCTTCACGAAATTTAGAATGGAGGTGGGGTTATGGTCAGAATAGAACCCTATTGCTTTTTATGATGATCGCATAATATTTAGGGGTAGAAATGGACCAAAAACTGTTCTACAGGTCGCAATTATGGACCAATCAAGTTAGTTAGCATGGAGCTAGAGCTTAGGACTGGGCAGTAGTCCTCCATTTTTGATATTCATCGGGTAATATTTAGTGGGTGAAATATACCATAACATTTGTGTTAAATAAAAGTCAAATTTTCCATTAAACCGCGAATATTTTTAATCCCGGCGAAATCAAAAATAAGCGAACAGGTCAATTCTGACCATTACATCGATGCCGATAGTATATATATAGAGGATATATATATATATATATATATTGAAATATTAGCTAGAATACTTATATCTCAAGAATGGCTGGACCGATTTTGACAAATTTTGACAATTCAGAATGCGCTCGTGGTATAAAATTATAAAATCTAAAAAAATCGAATAAAAATAAGTCAAAAATGATATTAATATAGGTTTTGTAGTATTTTGTGAAATTTCCTCACTAAAATTTTCAAAAGGGTAGGGTAAGGCTCAGATGGGATAGACCTATTGGTTTTAAAGATATCCGAAATGTATTTGGGGGTTGAAATGGACCAACAACTAAAAATGTTCCTGATTTTGCAGCCGTTATAAAGGTCACAAATAGAAACCAATGGACACGAAATCTCGCATGAAGTTCGAGATTAGAACAACGGGTAGAATGGACCACTACTTTTGTGTGAAAAAGTACCAGCATTACTTACAGGCGATATTCGAAATACACAAAAGGCGAACTTCTGGCTTTTTATGTTGATTTCGTTGACGAATCCAGCCAAATATCGTAGACAAGCAAATCATATAGATGAGTCTAAATTTGAAGATACAGAGGGGCATGTTGCTTTTGGAGATGATTGCAAAATATTTAGGGGTTTAAGTGAACCAAAAACAGAAAAAAAAATTCCTGATCACACAATTGAAGTCAATCGACACGCCTGAGAAGAGAGTTAGGGACAGGGAAGGATTCTAGTGTTTTTGATGGAAAATGGACCCCAACAACTTACAGCATGACGGAGTGCTTGAATATTGGGCAAATGTCCCTGAAATCAGAAATATTCCGAAATCGATCTGAATATAAGGGGGCTTCTAATATATTGTAGTGTTGTAGGGTATCACATGGTCGGCCCCGCACGACTATAGCCTTTGCTTACATGTTTATAATATTTTTCATATTTTGTCATGTCTTTTTTATCGAATTGAATTATAATACTATGTATTATATTCGTCCGATCCTCACGATATTTTGCATGGGGTGTGGTTAAGGTCACAATTGAAGAGAAATGGAGTAAAAGGTTAAAATGTTGAAGTCGCTCTATAAGTCACAAGTAAAAAACAAACGACACTGAACTTTGCATGGGATTAGATTTTAGGTAAGTGGAAGTCTAGAATTTTGGATGACTATTGGATTATATTGTGCGGGTAAAATGGACCACAACCAAAGGCAACATTTGTTCAGGACTGAATGACATTATTTCTACTCTACTAAAATGGATTTAGACCTAAGTAGGCTTCCAACATAGTTAGAGTTGCCGCACCACAACAGCCTTTGCTTACTTGTTTCTATCTGCTTTAACCATTTCGTCGCTTAAAGACTTAAATTGAGGTCAAGAAATGGGGTTGTATGTCTTCGCTATTTTGTTTTTTTCTCGACGTAAACTTCAAGAACACCCAATACACTTGTCTTTTAGCTCTTCTTTCATAATTTGTTACTCCTATATATATGTCCGTCTGTCTTTTGTAGTCACGCTACAGCCCAAATAACATGTGCCAGGTAAGATTTTACATAGAGTTAGCTTTTGTCTGAAGGCAGATCAAGTTTGAAGATGAGCTATATCGGTCAATATTTTTATGTAGCCACCATATAACCGTACCTCCCTATGTTCGGAAGTTCACAATTTCTAACGGACTAATAAAAATTTCGGTATTTAAAGTTTATAATGGGATCTATAACTGTACCTACTATATTCGACATTTTAACGATTTTAGCCACAATTTTTAATATATTAGAAAAAATCCGGCAGTTGGAGTTTTTGCTATACAGGTCGCAATTGTGGATCAATCAAATCGGAAGTTAGCATGGGGCTAGAGCTTTGGACTGGGCAGATGCTTTCCAATTTTGATGGTCATTGGGTATTATTTAGTGGATGAAATAGACCGTAACATTATATATACATATATATATATATATATATATATATATATATATATATATATATATATATATATATATATATATATATATATATATATATATATATATATATATATATATATATATATTCTTGACATAATTTCAAAAGCGAAATTTTCCAAAATGGATTTGGGCATATAACATATTGTAGTGTTGTAGGGTTATCACATAGTCGTCCCCGCACGACTACAGCCTTTGCTTACTTGTTATTAGTATCTTTGTATTCGATTTTTCTACATTTTATTCTATTCTGTAAAAAAAGGTTATTCCAAATTAATTAAAATTGTCAAAATCCGTCGTTCTGGAGTTATGAGCGGTCTAACCAATATCCCCTTCTTTGATGTATGAGATTGTATATATTTTTCATATATATGTATATATGCGATATCGTGGATGTAATCATCAATGTAAGGGACAGAAGTGACCTTTTCACGTATTTGTGACATTCGCGGTTTAGCGCAAAATTTTGGTATTTTTATACCCTACACCACATAGTGGTAAGGGTATTATGTCTTTGTGCATTTGTTTGTAACATGAAGAAGGAAGCGAGATTGACCAATAGTTACTTTTGAGGATCTCCATAGAATCACTTTCTGAGTTGATTTATGCATGTCAGTCCGTTTGTCCGTCCGTCCGTCCGTCCGTCTGTCCATTTATTCTTGTGAACAAAATGCAGGTCGTATTTATTATCCGATTGAGATGAAATTTTGCACATATCATTTGTTTGGCCTAAAGTCCTAAAGTCGGGTGGGGCCGACTTTATGATACCCTACACCACTTCGCTAATTTAGTAAAGCTCCACATAACAATTAAAAGATTTTATGGGAGAATTTAATCATACACGCTATGATTATAATTGTAATTTAAAGTTCAAAAGACTAAATATGCCGAAGCATTTGTATCTTTTAAATTCGGACTTGTATTGCCCATTTGGTGCAAAATTAATTTAAAATCAGATAAAAATATATATGGGAACTATATCCAAAACTGAACCGATCTCGATAAAATTTGGCAAAGATATTTCTGAGCTGTATTTGATATATTTCCCTGAATATCGTTGTTACGGAGTGCATATTACGGCTGTGAGTAACAAATACAACAAATCGGATGAACAATATATATGGGAGCTATAGCTATATCTGAACCGATCTTCACCAAATTTGGCATTCCATCCCATTTGGGCAAATATTATACGTTTGATCTACAATATATGGTAAATCGGACGAAGTTGTGTATGGAAGCTTTATCCAAATCTGAACGGATCTTGATAAAATTTAGCAAAGGTATTTCTGAGCTGGATTTGATATATTTCCCTAAATATTGTTGTTACAGAGTGCATATTACAGCTGCGGAGGACAAAAATAACAAATCGGATGAACAATATATATGGGAGTTGTAACTATATCTGAACCGATTTCGATCAAATTTGGCATACTTATTTTCAGGCCTAATGTGCAAAATTCCATACTATTCGGGCTGATATTACACGTTTGGTGCACAATAAAAGGTAAATCTATGTATATGGGAGCTATGTCTAAAATTTTTACCGAATATCTCCAATTTCAACAGGGTTCGTCCATGGGCCACACAAATGATCTGTGCAAAATTTCATCTGTATCGGACAATAAATGCGAACTGTACTTTGTTTACAAAAATACATGGACAGACGGACGGGCGGACAGACGGACTGACATGCATAAATCAACTCAGAAAGTGATTCTATGGAGATCCTCAAAAGTAACTACGGGTCTATCTCGCTTCCTTCTCTATGTTACAAACAAATGCACAAAGACATACTACCCTTACCACTATGTGGTGTAGGGTATAAAAATCGCATGCGATAAAAAATAAGACAAAAATTGAAAAAAATCGACAAAAGATATGCACTTTTTTATTGGTATATTTTTCCTCGATTTTCTAAGATTTTATCGTTTTCTGGCAAAAGACCATTCCGAATTGCTGGGAATTGTGAAAATCGGCCCAGCGGTTCTTGATTTATAAGCAGTCTAAATAAGATCAATTCTTTTACTATCACTGTAATGGTCAGAAGTGATCTCTTAATGTATTTGTGATTTGTATAGGAAGATCCATATATACTTTCCTATGTGGGAAACCAATATTTCGAGGTGTTAAATAATTTTTGGCCCAATCAAACTTGAAAATTTTAGAAAAAATCCGATAAGTACCACTTAAATGAAAACCATTATATGGGGACTATACGAAGATGTGGACCTGTATACGAAATTTTTTGTCATAGGTTGTGGTACCCATTACGAACTTCAAATACAAAACTTGAAACTATTCCGGTGAATAATGTCGCTAAAATCATTGAAATACTGAATATTGGAAGGAACCGGAATTGTTTCAAAATTGGTATTCAACGTTTGTAACAGATACACGTCATCGTATAGCCCCCATATAACGGTACCTCACGATATCGGTAATTGTTTCAAATTTGGTATTTGGAGTTCGTAATGGATACTACATCCTAAGACAGAAAATGAGCTATGTAGGTCCGCGTCTTCGTATAGTCGACATAATGGTACCACCCGATATTCGGTATTTTGATGATTTGAGCGACATTATTTACCGAAATTGTTTCATATTTGGTATTTGAAGTTCGAATATGGATACTAAATCCTAAGACAGAAAATGAGCTATGTAGGTCCACGTCCTCGTATAGCCCACATATAACGGTACCTCCCGATATTCGGTGTTTTGATGATGTTAGAGACACTATTTACCGGAACTATTTCAAATTTAGTATTTGAAGTTCGTAATGAATACTACAGGCTATGACAGAAAATTGTCTGTGCAGGTCCACGTCTTCGTATAGTCCCATATAACGGTACCCCACGATAATGGGCATTTTAATGATTTTAGCGACATTATTTACCGGAATTGTTTCAAATTTCGCATTTGAAGTTCGTAAAGGATACTACAGTCTATGACAGAAAATTGTCTGTGCGGGTCCACTTCGTATAGCCCCCATATAACGGAACCCCCTATATTCGGTATTTTGATGATTTTAGCGACCTTAATTACCGGAATTATTTCACATTTTGTATTTGAAGTTCGTAATGGATATTACAACCTGTGGCAGAAAATTGTCTGTGCAGGTCCACGTTTTATAACCCCCATGGTACCTCCCGGTATTCGGTATTTTGATGATTTTAGCTACATTATAAACAGATTTTTAAGTTTCGCATTTAAATATTGTAATAGCTTGTGGCAAAAGTTGCCTATGCAGGTCCACGTCGTCGTATAGACACCAAAATACGGCCACATTCGGTATTTTTACAATTTTAACAGAATTTTAAACAGATTTTATTTTTTTGAAAATTGCCAAATTTTACCATATGGTGGAGGGTATTCAAAGTTCGGCCCAGCCGAACTTACAGCTTTCTTACTTGTTTTAGTTTGCCCGTCTCTATATGAAGAGCCAAAAAAATATGATGGGATGTGATAAGTAAACCGTGTCACTCATTCTTTTCAGGACAATTAAATCCATCAGATAGATCCCAGACAGATTTGGCTCAATTAAATTTGTCCAACTTTAATTACAGATCTAAAACTGATAAGAAGTGAATTAGCCTAGGAACCACTACTTGCACATGGTATATTTAATATTTCATGGTACATTTAACTAAACAAATTTTTTTGGTAAATCAATGAAATTATTGGAACTCGCCATTTTTAGTGAAATTAATTCAATGAAGCGAATCATATTTTTTGAAAGTTTTTAATTTTAATTACAATGACCCTGGGCATATTTTGGTATATAAAGTTCGGCACTGCAATAAAAAAGCCATAAGGTTTGCTAAGTCTATATGGAAATAATTTACTTTTAAAGTTTTTATTTGGTTTTTTGCAAAAGTGAAAATGTTAACGAAAGCAGTCCTAAGTTTTTTACTTTTTGGAATGGTGTTGGATGTAACCTTGGCCTGTGTGAGTAAAAAACAAGTAAAAAAACTGTAAGTTCGGCCAGGCCGAACTTTGAGTACCCTCCACCATTTGGTACCAATTTGGCAATTTTCACAAAAATAAAATCCGTTAAAAATTCTGTTAAAATCTTTAAAATACCGAAAGTAGCCGTATTTTAGGATCTATACGACGACGTGGACCTGCATAGGCAACTTTTTTTTCACAAGCTATTACAATATTTAAATGCGAAACTTGAAACCAGTATAGAAAGTCCTAAAGTCTGAAGGGGCCGACTTTATGATACCCTACACCACTTTGCTAATTTTGTAGAGCTCCACATAACAATTAAAAGATTTTATGGGAGAATTAAATCATACACGCTATGATTATAATTATAATTTAAAGTTCAAAGGACTAAATATGCCGAAGCATTTGTATCTTTTAAATTCGGACTTGTATTGCCCATTTGGTGCAAAATTAATTTGAAATCAGATAAAGATATATATGTGAGCAATATCCAAATCTGAACCGATCTCGATAAAATTTGGCAAAGATATTTCTGAGCTGTATTTTATATATTTCCCTGAATATCGTTGTTACGGAGTGCATATTACGGCTGTGAGTAACAAATACAACAAATCGGATGAACAATATATATGGGAGCTATAGCTATATCTGAACCGATCTTCACCAAATTTGGCATACTAGCTTCGGTCGCTTGTGCCAAATTCCATCCCATTTGGACAAATATTAGACGTTTGGTGTACAAAAAAGTAGATCCGACGAAGTTATATATGGTAGCTTTGTCCAAATCTGAACCGATCTCGATAAAATTTAGCAAAGGTATTTCTGAGCTGCATTTGATATATTTCCCCAAATATTTTTGTTACAGTATTTACAAAATATTTTTGTACATATTACTGCTACGGAGGACAAAAATAATAAATCGGATGAACAATATATATGGGAGCTATAGCTATATCTGAATTGATTTCGATCAAATTTGACATACTTATTTTCAGGCCTTATTTGGTTGAATGTGCGAAATTCCATACTATTCGGGCTGATATTACACGTTTGGTGCACAATAAAAGGCAAATCGGACGAAGATATATGTGGGAGCTATGTCAATTTTTTTTACCGATTATCTCCAATTTCAATAGGGTTCGACTTTGGGCCAAACAAATGTTGTTTGCAAAATTTCAGCTCAATCGGATAATAAATGCGACCTGCATTTTGTTCACAAGAATACATGGACAGACGGACGGACGGACAGATGGACTGACATGCATAAATCAACTCAGAAAGTGATTCTATGGAGATCAAAAGTAACTAGGGGTCTATCTCGCTTCCTTCTCCATGTTACAAACAAATGCACAAAGACATAATACCCTTACAACTATGTGGTGTAGGGTATAAAAAACTGTTTATAATGTAGCTAAATCATCAAATACCCAATATAGGGAGGTAACATGGGGCCTATAAAACGTGGACCTGCACAGACAATTTTTTGTCATAGGTTGTAGAACTTCAAATACCAATTTTGAAACCATTCTGGTAAATAATATAGCAAAAATCGTCAAAATACAGCATATCGGGAGACATGCATACGAAGACATTGACCTACATTGCCCATTTTCTGTTTAATGCTGTAGTATCTGTTACGAACTTCAAATACCAAATTTGAAACAATTCCGGTAAATAATGTCGCTAAAAATATCAAAATACAGAATATCGGGAGGTACCGTTATATGGGTGCTATACGAAGACGTGGACTTTCATGGCCCATTTTCAATACCAAAAGTCCTACAGACATAATACACATTTGAGTAAAATTTTATCAACCTATTTAATTTCGTCCGGAAGCTAGAGTGATTTCCACAGACGAATAGACGGACAGTCGGACGGACATTGCTAAATCGACATAGAATTTTATGCTGATCAAGAATATATATACTTTGTGGGGTCTAAAATGTATACTTCGAGGTGTTACAAACGGATTGACAAACTTAATATACCCTCCATAGTATGGTGGAGGGTATAAAAAAAATCTATATTTTATTCAAGACATTTTATTTATGGCGTAATGTCCCAATTGATTTTTAAATCTCTTTTTTAGAATGGTTACAAAGTAAAAGTTTTGAAAAGTGAAAACTGTATTGATGACCCCGTTGTAGCAGCTGATCCGGAATTTACCCTGAAACTTAATAAGAAATGTGAATTTATACCCACGGGTTGTGTTGTGAACAAAGCTTTCAAAACGGCAGTGGCCAAGTATAAAGTCACAAAAGATGGTGTTGTCGTCAAGGAGGGCAAAGGTGATGTATGCAGTATGGCCGGACAAGCGCCGGATAATATTAAGAAATATATGGAAATATTTGGTGCCCCAACATCGTGTCCCGTGGAAGCGGTAAGGAACTACACAAATTATAAATGCGGTTATTTTTATATTTTTCTGCTACTTGCGTTATTTTTGAAGGGCAAAGTATGTGGAAACGATAATAAAATCGATATAACCCCCTTCAAAACGTTGTTGAGTCTTGCCCGTGGAGTCATTTCTATACATTCGGATATAACGCATGATACAGTAAGTTATTTTATTTATTTATTATTTTTTTAATTTAATAAATTTAATTTTGTTTTTATCTTCAAGGGTAAATCATGTATAAATGTGGAAATAGAAGTTACCAAATAATGGCTTTGGTGCAGTTCATGAAGTGGGTACTGCCTAGCAATAATCCATGTTTTAAATGTATCAACTAATTATATTGAATAAATATAGTTTTTTTGAGAAAAGCAACAAATATGTGAATTTTGAATCGACTCCACAATTCTATGGAGGGTATATTAACTTTGTGAGGAACTCCGTTTGCAACTCCTCGAAATACTCATGTCACACCCAACAATGTATATATATTCTTGATCAGCGTAAAATTCGAAGTATGTTGGTATCACGCTATCTTTCAAACGATTTGAGATAGAAGGTTAAAATTGGCACACATGTGTATTTTGCCAGTAGGTTTACATCGTAAATGGTCCTTGTCGGTCCACGTTTTCGTATAGTTCCCACATAAGTTCCTGTTTTCGGTATTTAAATAATATTAGCGAAATTATTCAATGGAATTGTTTCAAATTTGATATTTAAAGTTCGTAATTTGTAGTACAGCCTATGACAAACAAGTAATAAAGCCTTAAGGTAAGGCCTGGCCGAAAATCTTAATAATAAAAGAAAGTTACAGTTATATTGAGTTCTATACGAAAATTTGGTTGTGTACAAGCAGTTACCAAATATAGGGAGGTACCGTTATATTGGGGTCTATACGAAAACGTTGATGTGCACAAGCAATTATTGTCATAGGCCACCACAATATTCAAATGCGAAATTTGAAAGAATTCCGAGTAATATTTTCGCACAATCATCAAAATATCGAATAAAGGGAGGTACCATTATATGGGTGCTATACGAAGAAATTGACCTCCATAGGCAATCTTCTGTCACTGGTACCCATTAAGATCTCCACATACGAAATTTGGGTAAAGCCATTGAAATTCTAATAAGTTCAAGAGTTTACACCGCAACAGAAAGAAAATAGATTCAAAAGAGCTATAGAGTTGCTTCGCCGTAAGTGGCGAACTGCCGAATTTGGTTGTCCACCAGTTTGTAAACCAACAAAATTATCGTGTTTACTTGCCAAAGAAGTCAGAGGAAAATGTGCACCTTCGGTTAGCCCCTAGAACTCAAGCGCTGCCCATGGTGATGGTGTGGGCCGCCATAACATCCGATTGTCGCTCGTATTAATCGACCGTGGCACTAGAATTATTGCCGAAAATATTTTTTCTGATAGTCGTGAAAATATTCTGGAGGGTGTATTGAAGCCTTGGGCACGCAAACATTTTAGCCGCAGACCTTGGACACCCCAACTGGTCTCAGCACCATTGCACTCCGCACGCGTTACCCAAGAATGTTTACAAAATGAGGTTCCTTTGAGGTTGTACTATTGTGTCTGGAGTATTTTGAAAAGCAAGGTTGGCACTAAAAAATACCAAAGTGTCGATCACCTCAAGCAAGCGCTTCGCGGGGAATGTGCGAAAATACAGCAGAGCAACATTCGGGCAGCGTGTGACGTGTGGTTTCATTGGCCGTTTGAAGGCCATAATTCGTGCCAAAGGTGACCAATTCGAACAAATCTAAACTTATTCTAAAATGTTGTCCTATTTTCTACATTTTTTGCTTTCATTCAATAAAATTTAAAATAAATATAGCGTTTGATTTTGTTTTTTTTTTATCTCACCCTGTACATACAATGTTTCGCCATACAAGCCAGAACCCAATGTGTCAAAAATCATCAAACTACCGAATATTGGGGGTACCATTATATGGGATCTATACCAAACTGTGGACCTACACATACAATGTTTCGCCACCGGAGCAAGAACCCATCATTACCAACAAAAACCAATTTTTAGACAAATCCGTGAAAAAAGGTGGCAAAAATCATAAAAATACCGAATATCGGGAGGTTCCGTTGTATGGGGTCTATACCAAAACGTATGGCTTCAATGTTTCGCCGCACATACAAGAACCCATTATATCCTACATATACCAATTTTTAGATAAATCCGTGAAAAAATGTGACAAAAATCATCAAAATACCGAATATCGGTAGGTACCATTATATGGCGTCTATACCAAAACGAGGACCGATATATCTGATTTTCAATACCAATCACCCTAGACATAATACAAATGGTTTTCCTAAAGTTTGAAACTCTACGACAAATAATGTGGGCTGTATCGTGACTTCAACAGACAGACAGACTGACATCGTTATATCGAATTTTATGCTGATCATGAATTTATATACTTTAGTGGGTCTACGACGAATATTAAGGGATGTTACGAAGGTGGAGGGTATACAAATATGATAAAAAAATAAAAAATATTACAAAATAAAAAACCAGTAAAGAAAGTCTTAAATGCGGGCGGGTCGACCTTATGATACCCTACATCACTTTGCTAATTTAGTAGAGCTCCGCATAACAATTAAAAGTTTTTATGGGAGAATTCAATCATACACGCTATGATTATAATTATACTTTAAAGTTCAAAGGACTAAATATGCCGAAACATTTGTATCTTTTATGTTCGGACTTGTATTGCCCATTTGGTGCAATATTCATTAATTTGAAATCGGATAAAGATATATGGGAGCTATATCCAAATCTGAACCGATCTCAATAAAATTTGGCAAATATATTTCTGAGTTGTATTTCATAGATTTCCCTGAATATCCTTGTTACTGGGTGCATATTACGGCTCTGGGTAACAAATACTACAAATCGGATGAACAATATATATCGAAGCTATAGCTATATCCGAACCGATCTTCACCAAATTTGACATACTAGCTTCTAGACTCAACTCGGTCGTAAGTGCATTCAATTGGGCAAATATTAGACGCTTGGTGCACAATAAAAGGTAAATCGGATGAAGTTATATATGGGAGATATATCGAAATCTGAACCGATCTCGATAAAATTTAGCAAATGTATTTCTGAGCTGCATTTGATATATTTCCCCAAATATTGTTGTTACAGAGTGCATATTACGGCTGCGGAGGACTAAAATAACAAATTGGAGCTATGGGTATATGTGAACCGATTTCGATCAAATTTGGCATACTTATTTTTAGACCTAATTTGGTTGTATGTGCAAAATTTCATACTATTCGGGCTGATATTACACGCTTGGTGCACAATAAAAGGCAAATCGGACGAAGATATACATGGGAGGTATATCTAAATTTTAACCGATTATCTCCAATTTCAATAGGGTTGGTCCTTGGGCCAAACAAATGTTGTTTAGACAATTTCATCTCAATCGGATAACAAATGCGACCTGCATTTTGTTAACAAAAATACATGGACAGACGGACGGACAGACGGATTGGCATGCATAAATCAACTCAGAAAGTGATTCTATGGAGATCCTCTAAAGTAACTATGGGTCTATCTCGCTTCCTTCTTCATGTTACAAACAAATGCACAAAGACATGATACCCTATGAGATGTAGGGTATAAAAAAAATAAAATCCGTTAAAATGTCTGTTCAAATCTTAAAAATACTAAATGTAGCCCTCATATTAGGGTTTTAACGACGACGTGGACCTGCATAGGCAACTTTTGTCATAAACCACTACAATATTCAAATGCGAAATTTGAAAAAAAATATCGGTGAATAATATAATAAAAATCTTCAATATAGGGAGTTACTATTAACGCTAAAATCATCAAAACACTGAATATCGCGACGTACCGTTATATGGGGGTCATTTTCAATACCAAAAGTTCTGTAGACATAATATACATTTGAGTAAAATTTTATCAATCTACTTTATTTCGTTCGGAACTAGAGTGATTTCCACAGACGGACAGATGGATGGACATCGCTAAATCGACATAGAATTTTATGCTGATCAAGGGGTCTAAAATGTATATTTCGAGGTGTTACAAACGGAGTGACAAACTTTATATACCATCCATACTATGGTAGAGGGTATAACAAATGAGCAAAAGTTATAGTCGTGCGTCACCCACGATGTGATACAATGTGATGAAATAATGCCATATAGTCCTTTGGTTTGGTTTACCTTTGGTTTTTGCCCCTGGTAAATATTAACCCGTAGGCATATGGCTTGTATTGAAACCTTCTGTCGTGCTGGTAAATATATTGGCGTATTTTATTGGCATATTTTTAGGCGATGTTTTTAGATTGGTGAGAAATGTCATACTCCGTCCAGCCATTTTTGAATTATTAGCGGTCTTACTAACATCCCCTTCTTTGATATATGAGACCGTAAATATTTTTCTATACGGCTATCGGTATCAAAGTAACGTTCAAAAGTGACATTTTTATGTATTTTTGATTTCGCCGGGACTAAAAATGTTTCAATGGAAGTTTCGGTATTTTTTTAAAAAAAAAAAAAGTTGTGGTTAATTTTTTTATTATCTGCCCGCCCTGTCCCAAACTCAAAATTGCGTTTCGATTGGTCCATATAAAAAAAATTATTAAAATTTTTAAAAATTATATTTTTAACTCAATGCAATTTTAAATCTCGAGACTTTAGACAATATTAATCTCCTTGGCGGCCGAAATCATGCCAACGAAACCATCCAAAACCTCTTTGGCCACGGGTAAAATCATTTCTGGTGGCAAAATGAAACCATATTCACCCTTGTCGCGCAATTCAATGGTATATGGAATGGGGATGCCTTTAACGCCATAAGCCCATTCCTTGCCAGAGCCAGAGACTTTGTCTGTGAAAAGAAAATTTAAAATCATTCAATTTCAAGGCAATTCGAAATTAAAAGTGATATTGTAACTCACAAAGTGTTGTGGCACTGGAACCATAAGTGAAAACAGTGTTGTAACGGCGATACAAAGCATCAGCAAAACCCTTGGCAACATGCATCATTTCACCATAGTGTTCGGGTACCTCAGTGTCGGTATGGCCCCAAGGTGACAAAACATATTGGCCATAGGAATGCAGGGATATGTAGATTTTAATGGTATCTTCCGGAATGCTGGTGTTAATAAATTGTGTCATTTGTTTAATTTCGGGATCCGATTCAGCATAGGGACCAGCATATGTTTCCGAGCAAGGATCGCTGGAGGCACCAGCATCTGCAGAAAAAAATATATTTTTTTCTTGTTGGACTCCCCATTTTTTTTTGATCTACTTACACATCCAGAGGAAATCGAAATTACGATTCAAATCTGTTCCAATACATTTGCCCGTGGGATCTGAAGGTAATCTGGATTTGCGCCACATGCGATTCTAAAAAAGAGAAAATAAATGCAATATTCGGCATCTTAAAATTGAACATCTCGTTACACCTACCACTTCATGTGAATGCACAAAACCGTCAACATTCAATACCGGAATTATCCACCAGTCAACACTTTCGGCCATTTTTTGTACACCAGGATTACGAGAGGCCAACAGTTCATCGATGACATATGTGATTGTAGCCGACGTAATCCATTCACGAGCATGAATGTTCGATTCAATGAAGACAGCTTTATTTCCGGGCTTATGTGAAATTTTAAGACCTCTAATCAAGCGACCCTCATACGAATGACCAATATCGAAGAGTGTTACTTTATCCGGATAACGTTCAGCGATTTCATCTATCCACTGATAAATTTCATCTAACTTGTGGAAGTTTTCCCAATCGAATCCATACGATCTGGTTTTCGGTTGTTCGTTATCGATTAAGCTAAAACGAAAGGGGGGGAAATAATTAAACAACTTCTAAAAATGCTATCGTTCAGGGGGGCCTACTATGTGATATCCTACACCCTTAGATGGTACAGTTTGACAGTTTTTTAGGTTATCGACTGTCAAAAAAATTTAAACCTGTAAAATAGTCGAAAAAGTAGAAATCCTCGCATAATGTGTCGCCATGTATTGTATTATAGTGAATTTTGATCCCGCTTCTGTTTTTAAAAACAGCTTTTAATTATTAGTTTTTTTATTACTTGCCGAGGTTTATGATTTTTTGACGGAAAGTTCTAGTCCCCAAAAAATTAAAAAAATAAAGTTTTGGTATTTGACGTAGTAGATACATAATGTTGGAAACGTGTAAATAATTTCCTACCATAGCGGATGGCATCCAAACTTTTAAAAAATTTTATTTAAAATTGGCTAAATTCATCCAAATCCTGAGATTCGAGATGTTATGTTATGTAATGCCTCGAGGTTATGTAACACCTCGAAATATTGGTTTCCCACATAGGAAAGTATATATGGATCTTCCTATCTCGCCGAGCTGAGTCGATCTAGCTATGTATGTCCGTCCGTCCGTCTGTCCATGTTAATTTGTTATCACTCTACAGGTCGCAATTATGACCCGATCTTCACGAAATTTAGAATGCAGGTGGGGCTAAGGCCAGAATAAAACCCTATTGATTTTGAAGATGATCGCATAATATTTAGGGGTTGAAATGGACCAACAACTAAAAATGTTCCTGATTTTGCAGCCGTTATAAAGGTCACAAATATAAACCAAAGGACACGAAATCTCGCGTGAAGTTAGAGTTTAGCACAGCGGGTAGAATGGACCACTACTTTTGCGCGAAAAAAATACCAACATTTCCATTCTACCGAATCGCTAAAAATAATTTAAAGGCTAAATCCAAAATTCACAATAGGCGAACTCCTGGCTTTTTTATGCTGATTTCGTTGACGAATATGAGAAGAGAGTTAAGGACATTGAATAAGTCTAATTTTTAAAAGCTATATCTTCCAAAATGGATTTGATCATAAGGGGATTTCTAACATAATGTAGTGTTGTAGGGTATCACAGGGTCAGCCCCGCACGACTATAGCCTTTGCTTACTTGTTTTTTAATTTTATTGAATGAAAGCAAAAAAATGTCGGAAATAGCATCCAATTTTAGAATAAGTTTAGATTTGTTCGAATTGGCCACCTTTGGCACGAATTATGGCCTTTAAACGGCCAATAAAACCGTCACACGCTGCCCGAATGTTGCTCTGTGGTATTTTGGTCCATTCCCCGCGAAGCGATTCCTTGATGTGATTGACACTTTGGAGCGAGGAACCTCATTTTGTGGCGCGTGCTGAGTGCGTGCGATGGTGCTGAGTCCTGTTGGAATGTCCAAGGTCTGCGGCCAAAATGTTTGCGCGCCCAAGGGTTTCATACACCCTCCAGAACATTTTCGCGGTAATATTCGGCATTTCTTCTGATGCCACGGTCGATTAATACGAGCAGAGAGCGACCATCGGCTGTTATGGCGGCCCACACCATCACCATGGTGCACAATCAAAGGTGCACATTTTCAGCTGACCTCTTGGGCAAGTGAAAACGGTCATATTGTTTGTTTCTCATCGGAGAAAACCAAACTCGGCAGTTCACCACTTTCGGCCAAGCGAAACAACTCTTTACCTCTTTTGAGTCTATTTTCTTTCTGTTGCGGTGTAAGTTCTTGCACTTTTTGGAACTTCAATGGCTTTACCCTGAGCTCATTTAACAATATTTGCCGAATGGAATATTGCGATATGTTCAGCTCACGAGCCATTTTTCGGCCACTGCGAAGCGGATTTCGGTCAAGTCGCTTCTTTACTTTTCGAACCATTTCTGCTGATGATGCTGTTTTCTTCCGCTCACTTTCTTGACGTCGAGCTACGCTACCAGTATCTCGGTAACGAGCGATAGTACGAGACACAAAGGATGTATTCACATTTAAATGCTGGAGCGCTCTAACTATAGCCACTTGTGTTTTTCCAGCCAAATATAAGGGAATCACACTATCATGCTTGAATTCTATCACGAATAACTTTTTTTCTGGAAAACAATATAATGAGCTATCACTGGAAAAATTTAAACAGCTGTCGGACGAGTGGCTTAAAAATGACAGCAGTCTGAATTTGGTTGCAGTTTTTTATCTCCCCCTGTTTTTCAACCAATTGCGCGTTAATTGTGCACCAAATGGCCAATATCAGTCCAAATGACCTGAATTTTGGCGCATCCAAACGAATTCCGTTTAGAAGCAAGTACTTCAAATTTTTGGTGAAAATCGGTTCAGATATAGCTGTAGCTCCCACATACATATTTCATCCGATTTGGTATTAAAGTATCTCACATGCGTAACATGCACTCCACAATAATGATATTTGATGCCGGACATCAGATGCAGTACGAAAATGCCTCTGTTAAATTTTAACCAGATCGGTTCAGATTTTTATATACCTTCGATATACATCTTCATCCGACTTTAAGATTTTATTGGCGACCATATATGCAATAACAACCCAAATTGAATAGATTTTTTCATATTCAACCGAATTATTCTATTTGGTGAAACTCGGTCGGGTATATCTTTTGCTCCAATAAATATTTGTATACCCTTCGCCATACTATGGAGGGTATATTAACTTTGTCATTCGTTTGTAACTCCTCGAAATACTCGTGTCAGACCCAACAAAGTATATATATTCTTAATCAGCATACAATTCTAAGTCGATTTAGCGATGTCCGTCTATCTGCCTGCCTATCTGTCTGTCCGTCTGTCGGTTGTAATCACACTATCTTTCGAGCAAATTGAGATGGAAGGCTAAAATTTTGCACACATGTTTATTTTTCCAGTAGGCAGATTAAGTTCGTAAATGGGCCATACAGCTTCACGTTTTCATATACCCCCCATATGACGCTACCTCCCGATATTCGGTATTTTGGTGATTTTGGCGACATTATTCAACGGAATTGTTTCAAGCTTGGTATTTGAAGTTCGAAATGGATACTACAGTCTAAGACAGAAAATTGTCTGTGCAGGTCCACGTCTTTGTATAGCCCACATATAGCGGTACCTCCCTATATTCGATATTTTGATGATTTTAGCGATATTATTCACCGGAAATGTTTCGAATTTGGCATTTGAAGTTCGTAATGGATGCTACAGCCTAAGACAGAAAATTATCTGTGCAGGTACACGTCTTCGTATAGCCCCCATACAACGGTACCCCCCGATATTCGGTATTTTGATGATTTTTGCGACATTATTTACCGGAATTTTTTCAAATTTCGCATTTGAAGTTCGTAATAAATACTACAGCAAAATACATAAAATGGGCAATGTAGGTCCACGTCTTCGTATAGCACCCATATAACGGTACCTCCCGATTTGTGGTATTTTGATGATTTTAGCGACATTATTTACCGGAACTGTTTCAAAGTAGGTATTTAAAGTTTGCAATGGATACTAAAGCCTATAACAGAAAATTGTCTGTGCAGGTCCTCGTCTTCGTATAGTCCTCATATATCGGTTCCCTCCGATATTCGGTATTTTGATGATTTTAGCGACATTATTTACCGGAACTATTTTAAATTTAGAATTTGAACTTTGTAATGAATACTACAGCCTAAAACCGAAAATAGGCCATGTAGGTCCACGTCTTCGTATAGCCCCCATATAACGGTTTGGCGACATTATTTACCGGAATTATTTCAAATTTTGTATTGGATACTACAGCCTATGCCAGAGAATTGTCTGTGCAGGCTTATGACAAAAGTTGCGTATGCGGGTCCACGTCGTCGTATAGACCCTAATATGCGGCTACCTTCGGCATTTTCAAGATTTTAACAGAATTTTTAATGGATTTAAAATTTTTGAAAATTGCCAAATTTGTACCAATTTGTGGAGGGTATTCAAAGTTCGGCCCGGCCGAAGTTGCAGCTTTTTCACTTGTTTTACTATTAAATATGCAAATTGGTGTAGGGTATCACTGACTTTAGGCCTTCTTTTATACCCCCCCCCCATACTATGGAGGGTATATAAACTTTGTCATTCCGTTTGTAACTCCTCGAAATACTCATGTCAGACCCAACAAAGTATATATATTCTTGATCAGCGTAAAATTCTAAGACGATTTAGCCATGTCCGTCTGTCTGTCTGTCTGTCCGTCTGTCTATCTGTTGTAATCACGCTATCTTTCGAATGAATTGAGATAGATAGCTAAAATTTTGCACACTCGTTTAGTTTTCCAGTAGGCAGGTTAAATTCGTAAATGGGCCATGTAGGTCCACGTTTTCATATAGCCCCCATATAACGGTACCTCCTGATTTTCGGTATTTTAATGATTTTAACGACATTATTCACCGGAATTGTTTCAAATTTGGTATTTAAAGTTCGAAATGGATACTATACCCTAAGACAGAAAATTGTCTGTGCAAGTCCACGTCTTCATATTGCCTCCATATAACGGTACCTCCCGATATTCGGTATTTTAATGAATTTAGCGACATTATTCACCGGAATTGTTTCAAATTTGGTATTTGAAGTTCGAATTGGATACTTCACCCTAAGACAGAAAATTGTCTGTGCAGGTCCACGTCTTCGTATAGCCCCTATATAACGGTACCTCCCAATATTCGGTATTATGATGATTTTAACGACACTATTTACCGGAACTGTTTCAAAATTGGTATTTAAAGTTCGCAATGGATACTAAAGCCTAAGACAGAAAATTGTCTATGCAGGTCCAGGTCTTCGTATAGTCCTCATATACCAGTACCTCTCGATATTCGGTATTTTGACGAGTTTAGGTACAATACCCACCCAAATTGTTTGAGATGTCGTATTTGAAGTTCGTAATGGATGCTACAGCCTATGACAGAAAATTGTCAATGCTGGTCCAGATCTTCGCACAGCTCCGATACAACGGTATCTCCCTATATACGATATTTTGATGATTTTAGCTACATTATTCACCGTTTACTTCAAGTTTCGAATTTGAATATGATAATGATTTATGTCAAACAATGCCTATGTAGGTCCATGTCGTATAGACACCAAAATAACGGCTATATTCGATATTTTTAATATTTTAACAGAATATTTTAAGGATTTTATTTACAAATGCGTTCCAAACGGTGGAGGGTATTCAAAGTTCGGCCCGGCCGAACTTAGTGCTTTTTAACTTGTTTTTCTATTAAATATGCAAAATTGGTGTAGGGAATCAAAAAGTCGCCCGTTCGACTTTAGGACTTCTTTTTCTGGGTTTACTCGCTACATTTTTTCCCATCCTATATAATTTGGAAATGCATATCTGGTTAGTAAAATTTTCAATATTTTTTATGTCGCAAAATCCGACCGTATCAGTTTCTACTTTGCATGTATGTATAGTAGATATGTAACTTGTCTGCTGATTAAATTTTTCCACTTACCTTTGAACATTTTCAATTTTAACTCTATATTTGATATTGTGTTGCTTCAAACGCTCTTCAAAGGCTGATTGTTCCGAGGGCTTGAGCATAACGTCATAGTTTTCTCCAAATTGATGGATGTCATTCCAAAAGTCCAGCTAAAAGTGGGTGTGGGGTTTCAAATAAAATTCTGTTGTATTATTACACCATCTATAATATTTATTCTTTTAATTATTACCGCAAATTCACCCTCCAACGATTGCAAGAGTGCGTATTGTTCACGATTTTCAACGGTTGTTTCGTAGACTTTATAATTATCGTAACGAACTTTTTGTTCTGGTGCCAATGAGGCACCGGCAATTAAATGGATTAGACCAATGAAAATAATCAACACCCTAAGACCTTTCATTGTAGATGAGGTCTTTCAAAAAAATCTTGTTATGTAAATTAAAATTTTTTTCTCGCCCCAGAGATGTTCACACTACCGCCTCCAGGTATTGACTGATATTTCTCTGCCTTTAAAGACCATAAATGCATGACTTTTGATAGCCAAAAAACCGTATTTGTTTGCGATTACGGTAGCGACAACACTATTTAATCTTTAACGACAACACCTCTACGTACATACAAAAATAATGCCAATAAAGTGTTCGAAATTAACCCAATTTAGATTATCAGGGATCTGAGTACTTGCAATCGTATTAAAGTCATATCGCCACAGTTCGTTCTTCTGTTTGCGAGAATTACCATTGATAAACATGTTTGCACCAAGAGGGTGATCCATTTGTTTGGTTCGAAATGGGAAAATTTAAAATAATTATAAATTCAAGTCATGTTCAATATCCAGCTGCTCTTTTGGTGTATTTTTATGTGTGTAAGGAAAGCCGGAAATATGTTTAAGCTATTGTAGAGTGGTATCAAATGAATACGCTTGTCGAAAAGTGTGACACATAGGCCTTACTGAACATTTGGTAGATGGTATACCACCACTAAGTATATTGGAGCTTATTTCCTATCAATTAAGAACACATTGCCATTTTTATACCCTACAACACTATGTGTTGGGGGTATTATAAGTTTGGTTGTGTAACACCTCGAAATATTGGTTTGCCACATAGGAAAGTATATGTGGATCTTTTTATCTTGCCGAAATGAGTCGATCTAGCTATGTATGTCCGTCCGTCCGTCTGTCCATGTTTATTTGTAATCAAGCTACAGGTCGCAATTATGAACCGATCATCACGAAATTGAAAATGGAGGTAGGGTTATGGTCAGAATAGAACCCTATTGTTTTTGTAGATGATCGCACAATATTTAGGGGTTGAAATGAACCAAAAACAAAAAAAAAATTTATGATTTTGCAGTTGCTCTATAGGTCACAATTATCAACCAATCGCCGCGAAAATTTACATGGAGTGGGCAGAAACCTACCAATTTGGGCGGCCACCGGACAATAATTAGCGGGTAAAATAGACCCTGACTTTTATGTAAGAAAATAGGAAAATTTCCACTAAACCGAGAATATTTTCAATCCCAGCTAAGTCAGTAATACATTAAAAGATCACTTTTGACCATTACAGTAATGCTAATAGCCAAGAAATCGGGTATATAGCAAAATAGGTACAATATATATGTAAAAGAATTGATCTTATTTATTCTGCTTATAAATCAAAAACCGCTGGGCCGATTTTTACAATTCAATTCGGAATGGTCTTTTGCCAGAAAAGCAGTAAATCTAAGAAAACCGCGAAAAAATATACCAATAAAAAAGTGAATATTTTTTGTTCCATTTTTTTCAATTCTTTATCGCATGCGATTTTTTTACCCTACAACACTATGTGTTGGGGGTATTATAAGTTTGATTGGGCCAGAATTTATGTAACACCTCGAAATATTGGTTTCCCACATAGGAAAGTATATATGGATCTTCCTAGCTCGCCGAGCTGAGTCGATCTAGCTATGTATGTCCGTCCGTCCGTCTGTCCATGTTAATTTGTAATCAATGATCGCCAAATGTTTAGGGGTTGAAATGGACCAAAAACTGAAAAAAATCCTGATTTGCAGTTGCTCTACAGGTCGCAATTATAGACCAATCGACGCGGAATTTCGCATGTAGCTAGAGTTTAGGGTGGGGAAGAAGCCTACCAATTTGGGTGGTCATCGGATAATTTTTAGCGGGAAAAATAGACCATAACTTTTGTGTTGAAAAAAATCAAAATTTTTCATTAAACCACGAATATTTTAAATCCCGGCGAAATCACAAAGCCATGACAAGGTTACTTCTGATCTTTACACTGATGTTAACATCCAACAAATCGGATATATAGCAAAATATGTGCGATATATATGTCTACCAAAGAAGATATGCTTGAAAGATCACTTATATGTCGAGAACGGCTGAACTGATTTCGACAGTTCTCATTAATTCAGAAGATGAAAATATTGATTTTGTACCATTTTCTCATATTTTTTCAATTTTGTCATACTTTTGGCATATTTTCATTCTGAATTAAACATTTGGTAATATTTCTACAGCTAACAAAACTAAGTAGTTAGGATATCAGAATATCATATACAGATCGCATTTATGGCCCGATCCTTACGAAATTTTGCATGGGGATAAGATGAGGGTCAGAATAGAAGCCTACTCTTTTTAGAGATGATCGCCATATATTTAGGGGTTGAAATTGATCAAAAAGCTGCTAAATTGTCAGGAGGTCGTAATTATCGCCCGATCCTCACGCGCATTTGAATGGGGTTACCGGACATTGCAAAAGCCAAGCAGTTTCGGATGGCCATCCAAAAATATTCAATGTGTGATATAGTTTGCCAACTTTTGTAGACAAAATACGAAAATGTCCATTCCAGTGACTTTTTGGAGAATTCACAAATACAGGAAAGACGCACTTCTGACTATTTCGTTAACACTGATTTCGTTGAAGAATATAGTCAAATGGCTGTATCTTATATAGATGCGTTTCAGTCAAAAACCAATAATAAATGTTAATCTTTTGCCACTTCTGAGAAATATTGGTTCCAGATCTAGGAAGACCATTTAAGTGCAACATCTACCAATAAATTGGAAATGAGCAAATTAGTTTAAGTTGCTATTATTCGAAAATTAGAGAACGTAACCTGATGGTTTTCTTTTAGTATTTGTCACAATATCTTGTGGAATTCTTTCGAGTATCTCGCCTAATATAAACTGTATCGTTTATTATGTGTTGTAGGGTATTCAACGGTCGGCCCCGCTCGACTGTAGTCTTTGCTTACTTGTTGAAAATTCAAACTATAAGCGTACGAAAAGTACTAAAATGTAATACATTTGGTACCATTTCGTATTATGTGAACGGTTAGAGCTAAAAACTTGAAATTTGAAATGGGAATCAAGGTTGAGGAGTAGAGTCAGTGTAAGGAGGTAGTTCTGAGAAGTGTGTACTCATGTATACGAAAAGTACTAAACGGTACTAAATTTAGAACAATTTGAATTTGGAGGAACGGATGGAACTGGAATCTTGTAATTTGAAATTAACATTAATGGCGGAGTGTAGGATTGGGATATGAAGAAGTTTTCGAAATATGTACTTATGTGCACGAAAAGTACTTAATCTGGTACAATTTCGATTTGGGTGAACCGATGGAGCTGGAATTCTGAAATTTAGAAAAACGATTACTATTGCATTCTATGACTATGGAATATAGGTAGTTTTATAAATTCGTACTTATATGTACTAAATGGTACTAAATTTGGTACAATTTAAGTTTTGGGTGAACCTATTGAGTTGGAATCCTGAAATTTGAATATAAGTTTTCTATTGGACTGTTTGATGTAGGTAGTTATAAAAATTTGTACTTATATTAACTAAATTTGGTAAAAATTTCATTTGGGTGAAACAATAGAGCTTGTATCCTGAAAATTGGAAATGAGACTACTATCGGATTGGGATATGTAGGTAATTTTGGAAATTTGTAATTATATGTAGAAAATGTACTAAATTTGGTACAATTTGGATTTGGATAGAGCTGGTATCCCAAGATTTTGATATAAGATTACTGCCACATTGTGGGATTGGGATGTGAAGGTATTACTGGGAATTTGTACTTATGTGTACTAAAATGTACTAAATTTGGTACAATTTGGATTTTGGTGAACCAATAGAGTTAGAATTCTGAAATGTTTAATTGGGATTACTGTGGGAGTGTAGTATTGGGGTATTTCGGAAGCTCTGGAAATTCGTACATGTGTATACTAAATGGTACTAAATTTGATACAATTTGGATTTGGATAAACCGATTTGGCTGGAATCCTGAAATTGGAAAATAAGATTTCTATTGGATTGTGTGATGCAGGTTGCTATGGTTATTTTAACTTATGTGTACTAAACGGTACTAAATTTAGTACAAATTTGAATTGTGCTGAACTGATAGAGCTTCAATTCTGATATTTTGAACGAGAGTCACTGATGGAGCGCAGCATGGATGTATCAAAGTGTTTTTGGAAATTTGAACTTAAAGGTTATGAAAAGTTCCACAATGGGACTAACGGATAGAACTAAAAACTAAAAAATTTTATTAGAATTAAGGTTGAAAACCAATTTTTATATATGCATATAGATGGTTTTGGAAATGTGTACCAAATTTCCAAGAGTTTAGTTCAGTGTGAACGGATGAGGCTTGAATTTTGAAATTGGGTATTACAGTCCCTGTTTGTTATAAAGATGTGGGTTTGAGCCATTGTACCACTACTTTTTACTATTTGGTACAATTGGTTATTAGGTGAACAGATAGCGCTTGAAATCTGAAATTTGGTATTAGGTTCGCTGTTCATGTGTACCCTGGTCATATGAAGGTGGTTTCGGAAATCTGTACCATAATTGTGCAAAAAGTACTGAAAATTTAGTTGGATAGATTTAATTACTGATAGAATCTGTATTTGAGATATTGAGGTCTCTATTGGTGCCTAGGGTGGAGATGGTTTTGCATTAATGGTATTATAAATTACTAAATCGTTTAAAATTTTTCCTTTCACCTTAGGTACTATATTTTAGTTAAATTTGAACTTTAGTAGACTAGAACTGTTGGTGCATAGAGATTTCGTAGGGTTTCACACCATACCTACTTTTGGGCCAGATCAGAACTTTCTGCTCAGTGTTTTTTTTATTGAATGAATTTAGGTTGGTGTGTCACATGTACGGCTCATAATCTTAAAAAAATAAATTTTCCATGTGTACTACAAAAAGTATGAAACCAATTAGAATCAGATTCTCTTTTCAATGCCTTAAGGTATGCTACAAAAACCCAAGTTATAAAAAGTATAACGACGATTACCATCAGATCATCAGAATTCTATGGATACCAGAACAAGTGATCAGATTTCGTTAATATTCTCATCTGATCTTGTACTGAAAAGACTAAGATTTTGCCTTCCATCACTGGCTACAAGATAACATCACAAAACATAGCTAAAAACGCCGAAAACTCAATATATAAGGGGTTATGGCCATTTTAATGTTTTTA